TGTTTTAAAAAATCCCACCATGGGTGACAGGTGTGTAAAGAGGAGGTTCAACTGACCACCTCCAAAAGTGTGCATGGTCCAAGCTATCATAAATCCATGGGTCAAATTAAAATCAACAGGAGCAAGTAACCTTTAAAATATAAGGAAAGATTTAGAAATAAATGTCAACTCATGAAATTGAAGGACACCAACAAATTATGTGATTCATGGATGTCTAAAAGACATCAGACAAAAAGCAGGTGTATGAAGAACCGTAATTTAACCCTCGAGGTATAATTGTATCGAGGGTGTGAATCCAGAATGCTTCCCTTCGTAGAAGTTGTAATTCCCTATTGCCCCCTCTATGGTCGATCTGTATATGTTAAATGGCCATTCCCCGCAGTTCTTGTGTCTGTTCTCCACAAAATGAACAGCAACCGGCTTGTTCCTGTCAAAATCCTCGCCAGACTCTACTTTTTTAAAGGCGATCCTGATGACACTCCGGTGTTTTTTAAATCTTTTTTTTGAAGGGACCTATAGTAGTTTTCCCCACATAAATAAGTGAACACGGGCATTTGAGAATATATACCACAAACTCTGTGTTGCAATTAAGATATCCATCAATCCTGTAATTATTACCGTTGTGAGGGTGTATACATTTTCCACCCTCAGTGGTTGCATTGCATATGTTGCAATTGTAGCATTTGAAAAAACCTGATTTACTGGATATCTTCCATGTTTGTGTGGCATATTTCTCTTTGGGGTCAGCCTGGATTAGATGATCCCACAGAGTTTTGTCCCGTTTATATACTGCTAACAGGGTTGTCCTTACACTCTGTGTGAGGTTTTTATCAGCCATCAGAATATTGGTATTCCTGATGGTTGATTGTTTAATCTTTCCTGACAGGCGATTGTAGGTCTGGATAAATGGAATTGTATCCATCTCCTTGTGAGTTGGGGGGGAGAGTAACCTCTCCTTTGCACAAGTCAGGGCCTTGTTGATAACATGGTCAGGGTATCCTCTTTGGAAGAACTTCTGGCGCGTGGTTTCAATTTGGCTGTTGCTCTCATCTGGGTTGGAACAAATTCTCATGACTGAGGAATTGTGAAATGGGCTAAGGAGATGTGTGTTAGTCAATAAACAGCATTGACTTTAATATTATGGAGTGCGAGTGACTACTTTCTTCTATCTACATTTCACAGAGGCATCCGTTGTCACTACCGCACCCACCCAGTTGGATTTGGGTTTTTGTCTGGTCAGGAGTGGGATGGGACAGGAGGATTAAATTTCATGTTTTTGGGTCAGACTGCCAAGTTTTGACAGACAGACATGGTTGCAACTAGTTTTCGGTATCAAGTACCGATATTTCTCGGTACTCGCCAATAACGAGTACCTGTGCCTTGTGCCCTGATTATCAGTGAAAGGCAATAATGGCAGTGTCCATGAACTCTTCCTCAATAGGGTATTGCTGAGCAAATGGTTTTGGGAGGATAATGTATATTTTAGGGTGAGGCAAGTCATTATACACCGAGTGGCCAGATTATTATGACCACCCCATCAGTACTTCATTGGGCCACGAGATGACTTCGTTGGGCCACCTCGTGACTCCACGAGATGTTGAAAGGTGATGCGAGGAATCAGACACTGCACTGTTGCCTTGTACCAGTCTTGCCACTCTCCGTTCTGCCCTAACATTGACTAGTCACTGACGGCCACAATTCGCACGTCCAGACCCAGATTTTTGGCTGACAGTCCAGTCTTTAAACACTTTAACAGCTGCTCTTGAACATTTAACGAATTCTGCTGTTTTGCCTATACTCGCTCCATGGCTCAGAGCGCCAACAATCATTATTGCATATGTTGCAATTGTAGCATTTGAAAAAACCTGATTTACTGGATATCTTCCATGTTTGTGTGGCATATTTCTCTTTGGGGTCAGCCTGGATTAGATGATCCCACAGAGTTTTGTCCCGTTTATATACTGCTAACAGGGTTGTCCTTACACTCTGTGTGAGGTTTTTATCAGCCATCAGAATATTGGTATTCCTGATGGTTGATTGTTTAATCTTTCCTGACAGGCGATTGTAGGTCTGGATAAATGGAATTTTATCCATCTCCTTGTGAGTTGGGGGGAGAGTAACCTCTCCTTTGCACAAGTCAGGGCCTTGTTGATAACATGGTCAGGGTATCCTCTTTGGAAGAACTTCTGGCGCGTGGTTTCAATTTGGCTGTTGCTCTCATCTGGGTTGGAACAAATTCTCATGACTGAGGAATTGTGAAATGGGCTAAGGAGATGTGTGTTAGTCAATAAACAGCATTGACTTTAATATTATGGAGTGCGAGTGACTACTTTCTTCTATCTACATTTCACAGAGGCATCCGTTGTCACTACCGCACCCACCCAGTTGGATTTGGGTTTTTGTCTGGTCAGGAGTGGGATGGGACAGGAGGATTAAATTTCATGTTTTTGGGTCAGACTGCCAAGTTTTGACAGACAGACATGGTTGCAACTAGTTTTCGGTATCAAGTACCGATATTTCTCGGTACTCGCCAATAACGAGTACCTGTGCCTTGTGCCCTGATTATCAGTGAAAGGCAATAATGGCAGTGTCCATGAACTCTTCCTCAATAGGGTATTGCTGAGCAAATGGTTTTGGGAGGATAATGTATATTTTAGGGTGAGGCAAGTCATTATACACCGAGTGGCCAGATTATTATGACCACCCCATCAGTACTTCATTGGGCCACGAGATGACTTCGTTGGGCCACCTCGTGACTCCACGAGATGTTGAAAGGTGATGCGAGGAATCAGACACTGCACTGTTGCCTTGTACCAGTCTTGCCACTCTCCGTTCTGCCCTAACATTGACTAGTCACTGACGGCCACAATTCGCACGTCCAGACCCAGATTTTTGGCTGACAGTCCAGTCTTTAAACACTTTAACAGCTGCTCTTGAACATTTAACGAATTCTGCTGTTTTGCCTATACTCGCTCCATGGCTCAGAGCGCCAACAATCATCCCACGTTCAAAGGCTGTTAAATCGCGTTGTTCACCCGTATATTCAGAAAAAAAAATAACTTCTACTGTCATGGTAAACGATCTGCTTCCCTATTTATAATGGTCTGGCCCTCTAGCAACTTCAGCACGAAATTATAGCCAATTTGCCTACAAACGTCAGGTGGTCATAATAATCTGGCCACTCAGTGTACATCTTGTACACTGTAAAAAAGGAATTGTACAGGGAAGCTTTTTCCAGGCCAAGGCAGTGTCAATGAGCCTAAGCCGGTGACCTTTGGCCTAGCTGATTCAGGTTGCTCTAAGGCCAAGTATGTATGTTTGGCAATAATAGAGATACAAATGGCAAGCCTCCTAAAGGAATGATCCCCCAGAATTTAGGCAAAGTACCATCCACCTCATCCTCCTCAGAAAGCACAGAATGCAGTTAGAGGAAAATCAGAAACAGACTGAGGAAGAGCATGAAGGGACTCTTTTGCACCCTGAAACCTCTAAAAGAGCCGACACCATACATCAGTTCTGTTACATTAAGAAATGTTCAGCGTTCTTGTATTCAGCACATACACAAGTGTCACAAAGTCCAATGTCATCAATTTGAGCATTTACTGTAATAAAATGTTTAAATACACGTCCCCCTGTATATCTACATGGAAGGGATGCTGGTAGGATACCTTGATCTCTGCATCCTTTCTGGTATGAATGCTGGCTGATACTTCTAGATAGAACTGACTGTATGGCTAGTATCAGGGTGAGTTTTAGAGCTAGATTCAGATTGAAGTCAGGGCATATGTTAAAATCAGGTTTTTAATTTAAAAAAATGCAAGAAAACATAATTTTTTTTGTATTGGATAAATTAGTTGCAGCCAAAACGAAAATCAACCACTATGCACATTTGTCCAATATACCATGAATCACGCACCTTATTACTCTAGGAAATTAGAATTCATGAGTTGCATGATCCTCCATAGATTCAACCAATTTTTACCGTATATCCAAAAAAAACTAATTAAAAATGATTCCCTGAATTTCCAAGATTGTAATAGATTTTTTTAAATTTCCTGTAGCCACTGAGAAGCAGATAGATCAGTCAAATAAGCGATGGGGGAAACTATGGGGTGGCAAATAAACTGTGCAGTCTGCAGGCTATACCAGTGTTGGCCAGCACGATGTTCGATAGCTCTCTATGTGGGGCTCACTATGTGTTGGGCACCAAAAGGTTCAAGCAGTGCTACCCAATAGCACTGCCTCCTACCTGCCAAAATTTCCAGCGGCAGCCAGATTTTAAAGATGTTTGCATTAGGTGTGTGGAGTAATTGTGTGCAGAAGCCCTGACAATGATGTAACTATAGTAAATATCATGATGGCTATTATTATTGCTAATTCAACACGTTTAGCACTTGCCTGTGGCAGTGGGGTGACTTAGAATTCACACAAAGGTCCTGAGGTCTGATATGTTGAAAAAGACTGGTGAGCTACTGAGGACAGTGTGGTTAGCTTGAAAATTGTATTTCCACTTTGTATTAAAATGTTAAAAAAGCCCTCTTGTTAATTGTTCTATTTACACAGCATACCAAAAAAAGATTTGTTTTTTACTCATTTCTTACCTTTTAGTTGCAGCCGGCAACATGGCAGATTCCAGGTTTTCTGAGTACCCTCACAGTGATCTGACCTTATAGAACGACTTAGGACTGAAATGTTTGGATTGTGTTTCTCTCATTAAGATTATTTACATGCAATGGAGAAACCTGGTTTTCAATCCTTTAACCCCTCACCCCTCACAGTCCCTTCTCACATTACAAAAAAGGAGAAGTAGAAAGTTTAACCCTTAATCATTGCAGTTGGCTTTGTTCTTTGTCTGCACTTGTGTACAGTTGTTGCAAAACGCATCTGGGCACAAACGGACAGCACTTAATGCATATAATTGGCTGATATAAAGCAATTTAAATATAAATTAATTTAACACAAACTAATAAGACATTTTTGTTTCTTGGCAACATTTTTACCTTTTCATGGTTTTCAATAATTATTTCAACAACAATATTTTGGAATTTGATATCCATGATGGCTGCTACAGTTTCCTCTTGGGGACGCAAAAGTGTTGGACCAAAAACTACTCCCAGGTTGGCTACAGTCATCAAGTTTTGCTTATGATTAGCAGCAACACTGAAAACAAAGAAATAAATTAGTGTTAAAATAAACAACACACACTTCAGGTGTAGAAGACACTGTTATGAACACTAAATAAAATTTAAATAATATATAGTGTTTTGAGAGAGAAAAAAATATATATAGCATATTGATCCAAAGATAGTCGGCCCCGCTGGCTCCCAAAATACCTGAACAATGCCTGCATCCAATCAGATTGTTCAGAGCCAGTGGGGCTGATTAGCAAGATACTGAAGCTTAGCCCAGTGGGAGATTCCTCCATCCACACAGTTTAGCGTAGATGGAGGAATCTGTTGCACTTTTTCCCTCTGACCATAGAAAATCTGCAGATAATCTATAGTTGTATGGCCAGCTTTCCTATTACAGGTCTTATTGTGCCTGGATAGTAACACTTAAATATGCACACTGATGAGCTTTTATCTGTCATTGTGCTTTGTTAGCTCATAAACACTGCAGCACAACTGATTGGCAAATTGTGCTGCTTCTCCCTTGCCCAGTCTGTCTTTTATATCTGCCTAGAACTCAGCTTTAAGACCAACAGAACTTATGTCCATAGTAATTAAGCAGCTAATGGTAAACACGTTTTCTGATCTACAAATGACCTCTTTACCAAAAACTGCTCTCTGAATGTCACAACAAAAAAAGGTCAAAATTTGTATTTCCCAAGAATATACTATAGTTCCCTTTAATGGAAAAGTACAGTTACAAAAATTGCACTGTAAAATGAAATGCTGGGAATAACAATCCATAGTTTAGTGTGCCTTGGGTTTAATGAATACATTTGTTCAGATGAATGCGGAAAAGTTAACATTTTTTAACCATTAACAAACAAAGCCATTTAAAAATGTTGCAGGACTTGGCATTTGTGCTTTTCTGGCTCACTGCCTATATGAAGAATATTAGCAGGTCAGTAAAACAGAAACATTCACATGGAGAGAAGATATGGTTCAGAGGTATACCTCCCAGATAGTGAGGTGAGAATCTTTCCTAGTAATGCCTGGCAATATGGAGATAAAATCAAGGTGATCATCTGACTTCCTGGTCTAGACCTAGGGATCTTCTACAGGAGCATCCTTTACAAGAAAGGAAGAATATTATATCCCTTGTGTTATTTGCTCCACTAAACAGCACCCATGTATTGCAAGAATTGCAAGAGGGGAATTAAGGCTCTTTGAAGTAAGCGGCTTTGGAAAAGTGAGTACCATATATACTCGAGTATAAGCCGAGTTTTTCAGCACATTTTTTGTTTAGGACCCGGAGACTGCCAGATGACCCCGTTCGGAGCGCCGCCCACCGGAGCAGCAGTGACGCAACGCTCGGCAAGTAAGAAGAAGAAAAAAAAAACCTGCAGCGGCCAGTCAGGAGCAGGTGAGCAGGGATGAGTCAGCGGCGCGCTGGCCAGGCGAGAGGAGCTCCAGGTGGGGTTCTAATTTAGCTGGCAGGCACCTCTAAGTCAGCTAAATTAGGACCCCACCTGGAGCTCCTCCCACTGGACCAGCGCTGCCGCTGACTCGTCCATGCTCTCTCCGGCACAGTCACACAGTGAGTGAGGGCAGATTTGGGGGGGAGATTTATTAAGCAATTATGTATTGTCTGCACTGTATTAGCAGTATATACTCTATATGTAGTATATAGAGTATATACTGCTAATACAGTGCAGACAATACATTTACAATTATACTAACATGAATGTATTAAATGATCTGTATGTAGCCCTGTACTATGGATCATTTAACCCATTCATGTTAGCAGAGGATCATTGTAAATGTATTGTTGCAGGCACTCTATATGTACATGTACTATATACTACATATAGAATGCACTGAACAATAGATTTACAATTATCCTCTGCTAATATGAATGGGTTAAATGATCCGTAGTACATGATATGTAGCCCTGTACCCCCTTTTCCACTTACAGAGCTAGGTTATTGTTTTTCTTTGAAATAAATATTCATGTAATTTTATTGGTATCTATCTTCATTTTGTACATTTACCAGTAGCTGCCTCATTTCCCACCCTAGGCTTATACTCGAGTCAATATTTTTTCCCAGTTCTTTGTGGTAAAATTAGGTACCTCGGCTTATATTCGGGTCGGCTTATACTCGAGTATATACAGTAGTTAGAATCTTCTAAAAGTAGCTCATTTTCTCAAGCAACAGTAAGGAATACAACATCCTGAAATTTGTACACATGTTGCTTTGAGGAAAGCAATATATGTATTCCTCAGCACTGATAGGAGGATTATTATCTACAGTACATCTAGAAGTTTGGTAACATCATGCCACAAATCCTACATTACCTACAAAAATGAAATAAGGGGAAATAAAGCTAGAGGGAGGGAAGAGACAAAAAAAGATGGCATGGTTTACTTGTACTGCTAAAAAAGATATTGGTATGCGTGTCTAGAGCAAAAATACGTAGACCGTGATTCGGGGCTTTGTCCAAAAGCTGGAGTCTGGGTTTTAGAGGGAGGATCAGCTTTGTACAGCATTTGTACTGGAATTATGGATACTTTCTTATGTGATTTACACTCAAATATAGTTAAATTTTTTTTCACGCTGGCAACCCATTTATTATTGTGAAACAACTGTAGTGAGATGTGATTGCAGATCAGGTTTTAGTAACTGGAATTGATTAATTTACTAAATCAGACATATTCCACAGCATTTAAAGAGAAACAGATTATTAATTTCAGTCCGTGCCAAGAGAAAAGTGTACACTTTAACATCCCTATATAGGCACCGACAAACACATTGTAAAATAAATGCAATCGATAGCTGCTTAAAGGAGTCCTAAAGTAACAGCATATTCTCTCCTGTTATAACATCAGCATTGTAATAGGAATATATTCTAGAGTTGTTTTTGATAATGTGTGCTTTGCATTTTTTTTCTCGCTGCTGCCTGATGTTATGTAATCTCGATTTTTCATTAATACATGATCTTACATTGTCCAGATGCTGAATAGTTCAGAAGGTAGTGCATAATTACAGGGCTCAGTTAAATTGTGTCAGTGCATTAAGGAAGTACATCCTATGAGCATCTTCAATAAGTAAATTTACAAACTTACTTACTAGATCAAATACGGTTATTAGGAGTAGGGTAGAATTTATGGAAGTTCAATATAGAAATACTTATTTTTAAATCTTGACCTTTTTTTAAAAATATTTAATCTTTATTTTTACAAAATTTTAAACAAGTTTTAACATTCCATGTATTGCATGTTTACATCAATAATTACATTACAAATAGAATACAATAAACTCAAACCTACACAACACAAAAAAGGAAAGGGTAGAGGGAGAAAAACACACAAAAAAAAAAGGGGGGGGGGGGGAAAAGTACACGTCATACATTTCCGTGTAAGGGGGATTCCGACAACCTTATAATGTTCCTTCATTACAATCTAGTCCCAACACACCTCAAAACAGCCCTATGTATTATCCCACTACCCGTGCTAGCTCTCTAAAGCTCTTGTTGCACGTCATGGGGAGCGTGTCTGAGCCATCTGGCCGCCCTCTATCTCTCCCTCCTTCCTCAAATTGGGAGGAGGGAGGTTCACGCCACCACAGGCCCACACACCCTGCCCACGCTTATTCTACTACACCCCACGCTCCACATCATTAAATTGGCGGGGGTCCCGGTGACCCAGATTTCTTACATCAATACCAGTTGGGAGAGAGACTTGCACGAGCCGCGGATCCCTGCAGTCTACTTGTAGTCTCAGCCGTCATGTAACGCTGCAGAGGGCTCATCACTGGGACTTTCGGTGCACACTGTTTCCCTGTCTTTTTTCGGTTCATCTTGACATATGGGTGCCGCCGAACAATCACCGAAAAGTCGCCGAACAATCGCCGCTAGTTTTTCGGTCAGAAGTCGTCCGGCTGTGGGTCAATCTCGGTGTATGCTGGCCGTAGTCAAACGAGTGGTGTGCGGGCGGGTGGCGTGCTGCTGCTCACATCAGACGGTCTCAGCAGCCATTAGACTCCGGACACGCCGCCCCCTCGTCATCCGATCACCTGACCATCCCCGCACCAGTGTCCATACGCTCACTAAATCTTGACCTTTAACCCACAAGTATAGTTCTGAATTCTGAGGGAAGCCGGGACACGCCAAGGAGAGAGAACATAAAAATTCCCGCTATCAATTCTAATGCTTAGTGAAATGCACTGTGGATGTAGCAATAAATTGCAGGCCGTTTTTTTAATCCAAGCACTGGATTATTTTAGTTGGAGCCAGGCGATATTGTGCTCCTTTTCAATTCCTGTGCCTGCACATGTATTATATTTACATGTCATGTAAATCTCCAATGTATCTAAAGAAATCAACGTAAGCCTACTGTGTAACAAATGTACATGCAGGGGTCTGTTTATCATTTTCTTTTTGTGGTTTGTGCATCACTTTGTAAATTTAGATCTTTGCATGTCTAACGTCACATGATTTACAAACTTTGGAACTTTTGTTTTAGTTTAGTTTGAAGATAGGTTCTGTCTTTGTACCTGAAAAATGTAGGGCAGGGAAGCCCCCATAATAATCTTGCTGCTCACCTACTTTTCTATAAAAAGCTAGGTTATATCGGCAGGGTCACATGCCTGAAAAAAGGGTTCTCTGCAGGCCTGAAACATTTCATCTCTATGCGCTCTTTCAAATAAAATCTTTGGCCATAACTCATGTGGTGGTAAGGCATTTATGCTTACTTTGACTTGCCAGACCTCACACATGAGGCTTCCTAGATGGCGTTGGGTCTCACGATCTCTTCTCCATGCCACGTTGTTCCGCAATCCACCGAGCAACTCCTCAGACAGACCTAGCTGCTGGGACTCCTGTGGCCTGCTCCGATGGCTACTCCAGGTTAGTTTCCCATGACTCCCCACCTGCTGATAGAGATGAGCCCCTCTGCTCTACCTGGGACTCCCACAGCCCACAAACTGCATGGAAGTCCCTTTAATGAGCTCCACAGACCTCAATCCCTTCTGGCTCCTCAGCCCATCACCATGC